ACTTAATATTTTGGCATCTGTTGATTACCAAAATTCGCCATCTTGGATGGTCAATCTTTACAAAGAAACTCTGATACGAAAGGAAAAACTACGCGTAAGTTATTTAGGGCCTGTTTGATAGACCATTATTTTCCATGGAAAATGGAAAACAAATTCCAACTTCCACTTTTGCCTAATTTGACACACTTTTTTTTCAATGGAAAAAACTTTCTTGGTTTAGCTCAGATACTCACATTTTCCTTCGTTTTGTGGAAAATCAATTTCCACCAATCTGGTGGAAATTGATCTTTCATTTTTTTTTTTTTGGGAATTGAAAAAAATTCTAGACACAATGGTAAAAAAATTTATCACTTTTATTGACAATTTCTATGCAAAACAAAGTCAAACGAATGAGATTCGCTATGATAATTTTTTTAAAATTTTTAACTTTTTTTGACAATTGGAACAAATTCTAGACCCAATTGTAAAAAAATTATCACTTTAATGGACAATTTTTATAAAAAAAAAAAAGAGAGAGAGAGAGAAGGCAAATGGATAACAAACTTTCAACATTTTTCAGGTGGAAAATTATATCAATCAAACACAATTAATTACAATTCTCAATAAAACAATTTTTAGGCAATTCAATTCTATATAAACAATTTTCTTTCCACCAATTTTCCACATTTGCAATCAAATGGACCCTTAGGAAATTTTACAAAACATATCATTTATATGATATAACTATTCTTTTTACATATAATGCTTACAAATATCATTTGCTAAAATTAAGGGCGGGCACAATATTTTTTTATCACATTCCAAAGAGAACTAAATTGAACCAATAATTATTGAGTATCTTGTATATGAAACTATTGAGTCCAACTAATCATGGGAACGAATTGTTGGATTTCGGTTACATACCATAATTAAATTTTTAAATATTTTCAAAATTTCAACAACTATTTCATTTTACTAAAGTTCGAAATAAAGCAACATTAATGTAACAAAATTTTAAGTTTTATCTTACAAAATAACTTAGCTAGTCTGATTTAAAAAAATAAAAATAAGTTTTCTACTAATGCCCAATATACACAAAGTTTGAGAAAACATAATATTTATCTAACAAATGATAGTTGGGCATCGATAGTGAACGGATAGATTATTTTTTTTTATAAAAATTAAAATGTT